AAATTTGCTGCACAGTAAGCCAGAATCCTCATTGTCTGTGATAAAAGTGTGGTATAGATTGCGTGATAGCGGTGTTGTGCCTGGTCAATCTTAAACTTAGTTTAGTATATTCTTCTCGCGCAATGTGTCAAATGCTGGCTTCAAGAGCGTCAATCATTCTCCACGACAATAAATCCAGCACGCCAACTTTCTATTCTATCGAAAAAAATATTCTTAAACTGTATAGATATTCTATAGTTCTCATCAAGAACCTCTTCATTAACTTTACTTGTATTTAGGGACACCAATTTGAAGATCCCTTTACCCTTGACGCACCCGTCATCAATATCGCTTCGAAACCTAAGGGCAAGCCTTTCATATGATGTATAACGTTTAGCTTAATATAAATTGTTATATTCTGTACGTAATTTCTTTTTGGACAGGATCACTTCACTTCTTTACATTCTGTTTTTTTCCAATACTTAATGATAGAAGCTGGATTGGCTAGCTATTGAGTGGACATCCGCTAAGAAACGCCATTGGTGTCTTTCTTGACCGAGACTTGCCATTGCTGTTCACTGTTTGATATTCAGCTAAACAATATTATCAATTAAGACTGGCCAGGCTTTTTTCGGCATTATGTAACTGGATCGGTTCTTCACCTCATGATATTTCAGTGTGATAACGCTATTAAAGGATTCTTTATTAATCATATCATCAATTGACACCATCTTCATATGATGATGGCTGTTGTGAGGATGTACAACCCCTTCATATTTTTGTGCTAAATAATGCTAAAATGCCCGGTGATTACGCAAATGCGACACCATATGATTTTAGATGTCAAATAATTCTGTCAGAAAGTGTGTGCCTATTACCTTTTTAAGATATATGTGTGCCTATTACCTTTTTGAGATATATATATATATATTTCATGTTTCAAAGTTAAAATTCCCAGAACTATTCCACCAGTAATATGTAATACTAAATGCATTTGATCGATAGCGGTTACTGTTATAAATCAAAGAAAGGTTTTATCCATTTTGTGTGGCTGCCAAAGTAATATCTTCCATAACTAAATAAATATGTGTTGAGATATTCAGCCAAAGTGTAGATTTATCTACTTTGTTTACAGCTTTCCTGAGCGCGCACTTGTCGAGTTATGTCTTCGGAGACCTCGTGCATTCTTTGACTGCCTTGTTTGTTCCTCGGCCTTGAGAATTTTAAGAAGTCGGATTCCAAACCATTAATCATGTAGTTATGATGAAAGCAGCTTTGGATTCATCATACGCTTCGAGTCGATGGATGGAGGACACAGAGTTGTCATTAGCTGTTTTATAGACAAGGAAACTTCGCACGAAGATTAATGTCGCGTAGTGAAATTTCTGACAGTGAGATTATTTTTCTGTGCTCGATTGCCGTTTAGAGCATCCACGAGCAATTGTGTTGTTAGACACTTAAAAATTATTCCTCACATTGATTGTTGTTCAGAGCTGAGTGCAAGAGTATTAACGTCAATTTTCGTACGGCAATCAATTTTTGGGCCTCTGAAGAATAGAAAGTATTTCGAAGAAAGTAATATCGATTTTATTTTCTTAGACATGAAAGTACACTAAACCTTATATATATATTTGTAAATAAATTAGAAACAATAGTTAGATAAGTGACCCGTAAAATATTGTAAATCTAACTCATAATACATTAAAAGATTGGCAAAAAAAACAAAAAAGAAAAATTTCAGATGAAGAAATATAAGGATAGTGAGAGTGAGAAGATCATGTGTTTCCAAAGGTTAAGCGCGTCTTATATCTGTCAGAGTAATCGAGCCGAAACAGAAACGATGTCATATTCTTAGTGAGTTTAAAAATATTGTATAGTACCCTAAAAAAAATTGAGAGAAATCATCGACATTTGGTCTCCTATGACTCTTCTTGTGGGTAAATTTTCAACGAGCAGGTAAAAGAAGTGAAATAAGGATCATCAACAGAAATCCTAAGATCGATGGGAACACTAAAAAATTGAAAGGGCATTATATTTCGATCTTTGTAAATTAAAAATATATCTTATTTCAGTTAAATGTCAAACATTACCACTCGCAGTTATAATATTGTTTTCGTAGAAAATGCACATACAATTTACGGTGTATTTTTCGATTTAAACCTTAATGGCGACACAGGTGTGAAACTGACTACGTCCATTGAACTACGCAGAGTCCACGCAGATGGATCACATTTCAATAAGCTGTTAATGTCAAGAACCTCATTTCATGTACGTAATTAACATGATCAGTTATCCATTAGCATTCCCCACAGCCGGCAACAGGATATTTCTGCAGTGCCGTGGAGAGTTTTAACACAAATATCGATGATTCTCCGAGGAGCATCGTTTGTTTATTGCATAATTCATTAATATGACGTGCTTTCACCTTATTGTGTTCTGATGACGAATCGGATCAATCAATTTCATACATTCTCAACTTTAATTCTTTCGTTATTTCACTGAATATACGTTCGTTTTGCGATCTTTGGTTCTTGTCTCCCTGTCCATCCGCCCTGGTTGATAAGACATTAAAATGTGTAATGCTTCAGATTCTATCAACAGCTTTGGCCATTTGAGAAGGATGGCATTTAAGCCGCAACTCAACGTAACCAAATAAAAGTGGGATACAGGTCGCATCACAGCAACGTTTGTGGTACGTTCATAGAGGTAACAATATAGAGAATACATGGTCAGTGTCTTAAAATATCTACTGTATTTTGGCGAGGGTGAAGAAAGATAAAAGTGGGCAGCCAATTTTTTCTTTCTGTCCCGAGTCAAAATGCAGGTTATGTTACTTCAACAGTTATTTTGAAGTAAATTCAGAAAGCAATTTTGTTGAATTACCGCGCGTACTAAAATATAGCTGTTTTCCATCGCTGCTAAATACAGCAAAAATATATGTGGCAGGTGTATTCCGATAATAAGGGCGCCAGTTGCAGGATAAAACAGAATATAAATTGTAGCACTTTGGTTTTGAGTGCAGAGAATCGTCTCCGGTTTGTTGGACGAAAACACGTTTATGCAGTATAACCAACATCCTAATCAATAATTAAGCACAACTTTAGATTTACGTCGACGCGTAATGACTCCTATTTTCACTTGCTTTGTATAAGTCTCAGTCGGTTTCAGTAATTATAAATAAATAAACAAACCCAAGCCAGCAAAAACTGCCCTTTGTGAAGGCTATGAATTTTTATCAAAATATCTCAATCACATTAAAATACCGTTACCTGGACACTGTACTCAATGTATATTAATCGTGACACCCAACCCGGTCACATACTGGAAACGGGCTACTCAGCCTGCTCTTGTATGTACTATCCAATCGGGGGCAAAAACTGCACGATCATTCTCACTCTATTAGGTAGACGCTCTAGAGGAAAAGGGAGGTAATTTCTAGATAAAAGTTAGGAAGAAATATTAGTCTTTAGGAATAGCACTGTCGTGGACCCATTAAGGAATGGTCTTTTTCAAGATGGCGGACGTAGACAGCAACATAATGTAGGAGCTCATTTTAAGCGAAAAAAATACTGGTTTATGGATACAATCTGATGGGGACAAATACCACGTGAAACTCAGTAATACTCGAGATTTGTATTACCCTATTTGTATAGTGCTGTTATGGCTATAAATAATTATGAATCCTTGGCAAAGTCCATCGAAGTGTTGAATTCGACATCGAGGCGGGACTTGCTGTTAGATTTTGCTCATATCGAAATATTTAAGCAGTCTAAGGTTTATTTTCATTGTTAGGGAGATACTCCAATAACATTTCTAGTGATATACTTTGATATCATATTTACAAAAAAAAATCTTGTTTATATTACGGGCTGGTTATCAAAAAACGTTTAGCAACTTTGACAGAAAAGTTACGGATTCACGAGTTCCAAAGACAGACTCATTTCGGTTATGCATTAGTCCAGTAAATAACTGTAATGTAATTAAGAGTGAACAAAAAGTACCTGAAGTTTTGAAAAAAATGTTACATTTTCCTTTTTCTGGATAGCAACATCCTTTCATCCCCAATCTATGGTGTTTACATGTCGCAGTTGATTTGATTTTAAGGGCCTGTACCCATTATCACGATTTTCATGCAAGAAGTCATAGACTTACGGACAAGCTGACGATCTATTCAGCAGTAAGTATTTAAAATGTGTACATCTCACTGGCTAACTCTAGCTAGCCTTTGAGCAATGGAGTCTGATATATCCAAAACAACTCAATAAAAACTAAACATCTTGTTTTCCAGTTAACGGAAAAAAGGCATATTAGTCTAACATATGATAGACTTGTAACCAACAAACCGAATGTATTTACTTTTTTCGTCAGTAGATTTTTGGGAATATACTGTACATTTCTTGAAGGGGGTACGAAGAGAATATGTGATTCAAAACGGAAACATTTTAGATGTACGTCTATCTAGATGTAGATTTCATTTGAACTCTACAAAAAAGGTTTGTTTATGTTCGTCTTGTTGCTCGAGTTATCTCTCTTAGAACGTGGACTGAACCAAGGAAAACGCGAACACATATATTTGATTATTTTACAAGTTAGAATGGAATTCCATCTCGCTGTATAAAATAAAACCCATGTTTCAAATTAAAAGAAAATATCTCCTTACAAGGGAATCACTAATCCTCATACGCTTTTCCGTATCATCGTCCGAACCTTATGAAATTTCGGATAGTCAATCCGCACATTACACCAACCCCAGTGATTTCTGACCGGAAATGATTTGGTGGGACCTATACTTGCTGTAGAACGAATAACTTTAGACGAAGAATTGATGTTTAATTCCATCGAAGTTATTTTTGTTGGTGTTTTTTTATTTTTATTTTCGAAATTATCATCGGGCCTAACGAAACATTTTTAATATATCGAGAGCTAAATCGTTTCCTAGATATGTTTATGTCTGTGTATATTCAAAGAATTCTCCCAAAAACCGCGGGGAACAGACGAAAAATGAATCGAGAAGAGAGAAGCCATTGAAGTTTTGTCGACTTTTAATGTGAATTGGTATTCTGTATATAGAGTTCGACATGGTAAGTGCTAAGATTCGGGCTCGGAAAATATATGATAAAAATTTTGTTGGTGTCAAATCCGAAAGTAAAATGTATGACCGCCGACTGTGTGTTCTTTGGCAGTGCGTAACGTGTTGTGAACAGCCAGTGTCTGTTGGTCTTTCCTTACAGCCGTATTTACATTAAGCCGAGGGGTTTTGAATATATCTGACTGCGATTTTATTTTTGTCTTGCAATTGGTTGCATTGTCATTGTTCAGACCGAAGGGATTAGACTGTCTATCCTTAACTCCGTTTTCGTCTGTGTTGTGATTCATGATTGGGACTAAGATAAATAACTCATGGATATATCAGCCAGAACCCTTTGGGCTAAACAATAGATGGTGGTTTACTGGTTACCACTCTGAACAACAGATGGAAGGTCCGGCGCACATATTCAGTGTGACTGAGTTAAAAGTGCTTTGTCACCACAGGTAGATCCCTAATCTTAGCTTCCTGAATAAGACCATTCCAAATTTAAATCTTTCCTGAAGTTGCAAAATTGGCTACATTGTGAATGTGTGGTTTGCCTCAAGGCAAGTAGGAAACAATATGAAAGCATGGAATATAAGTTTGTTGTAGAATAACTGATATGTGAGAATTATTGTTGAATCAGGGCTCCCAATAACGTTCTGGGTTTGGGTTAAAAACCATCATGTTTCAGTTAGTTTTGGTGGCTGTTTCTCAAAAAAATTCATGAAAAAGTAATCTGATTGATTGATCAGAAAGAAAAAAACATCCTATTTTTAAGTTCTGCTCATGGTAGACATTGCAGGTGTCAATATTTCCATCTTTATGATGACTTCATGCCTGCTCTTTACACGGAAGGTCATAGCTATAGACAAAGACTGGTGGGTTTGATTGTACATTATCCAGTATACATTACAGCATTTAATGATGGTTATTTTTCTTTATTATCAGTGTTTTTTTAAAGGAACAGAATTTTTTTCAAGCATAAAAGCACTGAAAATGCTTGCAATCTTATTGAATTTTCTGTGTACACTTCAACATTATAGTATATCTCAGGTCAGCCGATATATAATTGGATGGTCTTGTTGTGTTTTACCTCTGACATTGTTTTCTGGATTTGTAGCCCTTTGAACAGCCAGGATCGTTTTGATGCTGGGTCTCCTTGTAGTAGCTGGTGGTTACCTCACTGAACACCATTCAAGAGGTCCATCACATGCAGTCCAGAGCAATTTTGAGTAAAGTTTGCCGCTCATGGACAGCCACATCAGTGCAGACAATTGTGTTTTACAGTTTACTGATAAACACAAAAACTGGTAAGGGGCACTGAACACAACCCAGAATCTTTACTTTAGGTTTTGTAAGCAAACACTCTTAACCAAATGAGCTGTAATTGCCCTTTGTTGGATGTGATATTATATAAATATTTATTTCAAGGATGAAGAAATATTGTGCCTCACTGGGATGAAGTGGTAATTGTATGTAAACGAAGATGACTGGAGCAATGATCGGTCAGACCCGTTCATGGCTGAGAGCTAGGTCTGTCCTAGTTCCTGATGATTGGCTTGAGGCCTGCGTGGAGTGGATCAAGGAAGAAAACCAGGTACGTATTGCTCCATAATGTCTTGTTTATTTTTCAGACCTTACCATTTTTGGTACGTTGGGTATTTATATTTTCAGATGAATTTAAGATGAAATGTGTTTTGAATTAATGTCATACAACAGTCACATCCTTTTTTCCACATGTATTGATGTATAAAGGTCTCAATTTTACAGTTCTAGGATGAGCATGTGATTAAGGAAAAATCTGTAAATAGAGTTGTAATATACCTTAAACATGTTGATACCCAGTTTTATTGTAGACGTCAGGAGTAGGCACAACACGAACCAGTTCTGGTCCAATCCACAATTTATTCATGCTAAGAGTTGTTTACCCATTTCGGATCCAAGCGATCCGTCATCAGATCAGGTTCTGATGACGGATCGCTTTGATCCGAAACTTAACCCTACTCCTGTCGTCTATTCTACTTATTTATGGTGGGTACTCGGTATCCTTTTTGATCCACGGCTGTTCCCAGAAGGAATTTCCTGGTTTCACTGTTTTCGGGACGTTGTGTCTCCATCCCCCGTTGTTGACACAGTTTTATTGACAGAAAAAACACAATCTAGTCGGATTTGTAAACAACTTTTACTCCTTCCACTCTGATATTTGTTACAAGATTCCATAACAAAATGTACTTGTATTTAATGTTTTTTAATTGAAAACATATCATGATGAATTGTATTATATTCTGGATTACACCTCAATGAATATTTTTTACTTGTAGGGTAACAGTCTTGTACAGTCTCGGATCAATGAGCTTGTATTTGAACAGTGGCTGTTAGCAGATCTCCATGAACTTGGTACTCGTTGTTTACCCAACGGACTAGGGGAAGCAGCAAAGCATCAACTCTCGGGGTCCTATGCTCTCCAGGTACATGTAGAACTGTATACTATACAGTCATTATATAGATGATATGTACATGATTAGAACTTCTCTGGATCAGACTCGGTAGGTTTCTGGTGTCAACATTTGCAGAAATATCATCACAGGATAAATTCAATCTCCTCCTCACTGAGTTATTGTTTGTCTTGGTTAGGGTTTAAAGTTGAAACCTCTAATTTTCTAGTCTGACAATCAAACGATGTAGCTAAAGAGAAGTTCTCTCTAGCCAAGCTGTGCTATTAGATAAAGAAATTAATTTATTAGAATCTCTGACATTTATTCCATTTTGTTTTAACTAGATAGACTCCATGGTAGATGTTGGAAAGTCATTTTACTCACAGCTGCAGAAAGTAAAAGGCACTGAAAATGCTAATGCTGAGGTGTCTGCAGAAACTAGTGACCAAAAACCGGTATGTGATGGGGATTAATTATGCAGTTTCATAACATTACTGTTCATAGAGCTTTGGAATTTGAGTCCTTGATCCCAATCCTTTGCTTATTCTTTTGGACTCCTCAATATTTAGAGAATTTTCTCATAAAGGTACTCATAGGTCCAAATTTTGAAAATAGGGTTCCGGACTCCTCTTTAAAAATTATGGCTGTCACATGAATATAGTTGTGCAAGATTAAAGTGAAAAATTATTTCATCGGCAAATACCTTTAGAAAACATTTTAGTACAATCTTTGCTGTTGTAACCGTGGAATATTATGAGTAAATGTTGTATTTATTTTGTACCTACTAAAATGATATAAATTTCAGATCCTCTTAGCTGTATTCTTGGTGTTTGTTTTCTTCTATGAGTATAGACCTTGACACCTGTCATCAATTGATTGTTATATTTAAACAGGAAAATGTATTCCTGATGATTGCATGTGACTTAGAGATAAATATATCTGGTTTTCAATATTTGGCCTTTCCCCAGTCTTTGTGCAAGACATATTTTATTCGTAACAAAAAGTATTGACTGAACGCTATTTATGGATTCGTCTCAAAATATTTATTGCAATTTTCAATTTTCACACTGACATTTCAGTTATGATTACCTGGTACCCTCCTGCAGGCCCCTATGTAACCCTTATAAAGACATTTCAGAAAGTAAATTATTTGCCTTTTATGTACCCTTGTTTCATCAAACTTGTTAAAAATAACAAACATATATTTTTGTTTACATGGTCTGATGACATAGAAAATCAGTCATCCATTTTATATTTGTTGATTTCAACAAAGATATTTGGTTTTCAAAATGATAACTTTTTTTGACAGAAAATGACAGAAATGATTATGAGACAGCCAAGCAGTACATGATGTATCTATTTTGTATATTTCAGTGGGAGCCAAAACCTTCTCAGATGTTGATGCTGAACCTGACTGATGGTACGAGTAACGTTAAAGGAATGGAGTACAGACCTCTAACCTGTCTGAATGCTAACCTTCAGCCTGGCACTAAGGTCTGTATACACATCTCCAATGACATCTCTGCACTTTGACCGTAATTAATTTTGAATTGATTTTACAACAAATTTATGAAACATGGTTAAAATCATTATACGTAATCATCAATTATGTCTGACATTGGATGAAAGCATAAAGTTATTACTTTGTGAAAGTTTGCTAAGACTGAACTTCAGGAGTTTTTTAGGCTATAGATCTATTTGCATTGGTTAACTTCAGGTGTCAACAACACTGATATAGTAAATCACTTAGGTAGCCTGTTATGCCCATGTGTAAAGAAAAAAGAAGCTATGATGTGTAAGTCTAGATGCAGAATATAGCTCTACAAGTTATTTCCCTTGGTTCAACCAGGCCAATAATACACTGGCTACACATACAACACAGCAGTGATTGGTTGTTGTTAATTGACATATGTAACCAGATGGAAGAGCCTTGACCAAAGCAAGTTGTTAGTGCTTGATGTAGACCTAATGTATATGTATTCGTGAGTAGTTATTGGGATAAAGAGTTACTTCCCTTCGTTCACTATGCATCAAGTTTTTGAAGACAGATATTTGATTTGTACTTTGCAACCTAGAATACCCAATTCTCTGTTCCTAGGTGATTGTCAGTGGTACTGTGTTGTGTAGAAGAGGGGTATTATTTCTGAACAATAATAATCTTCGTGTGTTGGGAGGAGAAGTGGACACTCTAATGGAAGAAAACACCAAGCTTAAAGTTCTACAGGAGGCACTGTAAGTCACTGGATCAAAACTCCAAAGTAGTTATGGAGCATCCCTCAAAGTAGCACCATAAGGCAATAAGTGAGCTCCTTCAAAGGGCAATATAAGTTTAAAAGGTGAAAGTTGTCCATGGAGATACTATATGTCACTGGATTTTACAACTTTTAATTGCTGGGTCAAAGCCAAAGTGAGTTAGTGAGTAAATGGATCAGTCTGCAATGAGTCAATAGAGGTAAATAGAACCTAATCTTTATAGGGAACAAAACCCTTGTATGTTGTTCATCTTCACAACGGTTAAGTTATTTTGACTTGGTTCCTTAGATAACTTTGTCATTTAATGGGTACAATTTTATTCAAAGGCTTGTATAGGAGCTAAAGTCATCCGAGTCAAGGTATTTAAAAGTGTTTTCTCAATGTAATTTGATATAATTACAAGTGATATATTGGTGTTTAGCAAGAAACCAGCCAGGATCTTCCTGTGCTGTTGTGGTTATGTCTTTGGAATGAATATTTTACAATTATTGCACTGGTTTGCATGTGGCAGTCCTCCCCTATGTTGTTCAGTCAGGTAGTCATGTACTTCATGAAAACCCCACTGACTCTGGTAATTGACAGAAAATGTGATAAATGGAACAAACAATTAAGTCTTTGTTAATTCTATTCACAGAGATTCCAGTATGCGCAACACCGGGAGTATGTACAAACAGGAGTTTGCAGACACTGACATCAAACCAAGTCAGTTATCTGTCAAAAACTCTGTCCTAGCTCCAAACAAAGGGGGAAGTTCCACGACCATAAACAGACACCATGCAGTCTCAGGTTTGTATATAGGAACTTTCATGGTTATGTACTAGTTATGGTCAGAAACTTCAGCAAATTGCCTATAATGTGATCATGGGTTTTTGGAAAATACTTTTAAAAGTCCAAGTTTTCACCAGGATATACTTAGATGTATCCAACATACAGCTGTTTTATATGATCATTCAAAAAGGACATTGAAAGAAAGAAAAGGAAAAAAAATTGAAACACAAAAAACAGGTGTGGTATTTTTACTACGTTTTGCAGGAGACATTTTTGTACTATTGTAAAAGAAATGTTTTACATATACCATATATACAACTTTTATCCTGATTATATGAGTTAATCTCAGCACAAAGTCCATTGTATTTAACTTAGGTAACATAAAATTCAAAATTACTTCTGGTATGAATATGTATAGGTCACATGTGCTATGTATGTATACATACTTTTACAATGTATCCCATATTATTTTGACTCATTTTTTATTCATATAAAGATATAATGTTTCTTTTTACACTTTTTCTACAGGAGGGATTACAAGGCCAAACACCAGTATCAAACCTACTAGCAGTGATCTCACTTTAGATGAGGTATGTGTAGGTGCTGTATATGACAAAATGGAAAACAAATTTCAAAATAGGAAAAAAACAAAGTAAATTCTGGCATTTAACAATGACATTGAAAAACACTTTACTATAAAGCTCTGGTATATTCGAAGAAGAAATCAATTTCTCTGTAAATACTTGTAAACTTTCAATAGCAAAACCAACTGTAAATACTTGTAAACTTTCAATAGCAAAACCAACTGTAAATACTTGTAAACTTTCAATAGCAAAACCAACTGTAAATAATTGTAAACTTTCAATAGCAAAACCAACTGTAAATACTTGTAAACTTTCAATAGCAAAAGCAACTGTAAATACTTGTAAACTTATCTAAAATGAAGAGACCTATATTGTGAAGGTCAACTTGACTATACCTGTAACAAGGACAGTTTCCTCATTACGATGGCTATTACTATTTGCTGTTAGAAATTTTCTCCGTCTGTCGCACTTACTGCCTATCCTTATACCTGTGTCTTGTTTGCACCATTTGTCAACTTGTTGCTTTGCAGCAAATGTAGTGACTATTTGATTGATAAAAATCGCAGGTTTTTTCAACATATATATTGATATGTTATGATTTAAAATGCCATTGAAACACCACTTGATGAAGGATTTCCATGCTATTGATTTAATGACCAATTGCTTTGTTTATATGAGACTTTACTCTTGAACAGTGGGATGAAGAAGATATAGCTATGGAAGATTTGATGGATGAACTAGATGATATGGAGATGCCAGAAACAGGTAGAGATTCTACCTTACCTGGTCAGTCATCTGTGAAAGCCAACACCTGTAGGAATGTTAATATGTCTTCAGCTGCAAGTCTTCAACAGAATCGAAACTCTTCAGTCCAGTCTTCTGGTAGATTGTACAGCAGTGGTTGTGTGAAGCAGGAAAGAGTCAGTTTAACCAATGACAATGAAAATGTTACCTTAAGGAAATTAATTTCTAATTCGAGAGCAGGAGGCAGGAATTCTCCTGAAGAGCTGCCTAATCGAAAAAGGCAAAAACTTAGTGACAGTTCAAGTGCATGTGTGAAAGCGTCGACTGTGCAATCTAACTATGATGCCATGTTTAATGATGATTTTGACGATGATTTTGATGATTTTGGAGATGTTTCAATCATCCCTAAAAAATGTTCTTCAAATTCTAACACTATATCCAAACCAATGGTTAAAAGTTCAAAAATGTTTGGGAATTCTGTTGTTGAAAATGCTGGGGAAGAAGTTAAGAAATTGATGTCTCCCCTTGACTCTAATTCAAAAAATGCTAACAGTGGTCCAGTAGGAATCGGCATTAGAAAAAGTGGTAAGAAAAATTTGCTTTCAAGTTCATATGGAGTGTCACTTGTTGAAAGTGCAGTAAATTTACCAGTTAAATTAGAACTGCCCTCATCAGTCAGCATGGTATCTTCGTCTTCTGCGGAAAGGCAGATCATTGGCAGTCAAAATACATTGGACCAATTTGTGAGGACTCCTCTAACTGGACAGAAGGAAAACAAATCATCTATCAGTCGAAGTGGAAACTCGGCAAAAAGTTTTGATGAGCAGACAAAATTAACAGACTTCACTCTAGTGAAATCCTCCCATGGTAAATAGATATAAATTTGTTTGCAATTCAATCTTAATGACATGATTTGCTTGTTGATTGGCTTGCTCTTTGCTTGCATATTACTCATTTCTTCCTTTACTGATTCTGTTCCATTAATAATTCCAAATGTAACTATCTAGGAAAAGAACTAATTTCCTACCAATGAAATTTTATTGATATCTTTTAAATGAAATTTTAAATTGCCTCAGTGACGTTTCATGTTTTCCAAAGATACAAAAAAAACAAAAGCTATGTTTATATTTTAACTTTACATGTGACTGTGATAGCAATTTTTCTATCCATCTGTAACTGTTTTATACATTGATCTTGATCATTTTCATTTCATTAATGTTAAACAATTACAGTTTACCTTTCACTGTTTTTTATTCTCCAGTAACTGATGATAATTAAGATCACTTTGCCATGTTGGTGGACTTTTCAGAAGTAAATAGCTGATACACTATGTATGATAGCAATGAAGAGGAAATGCTTCAGTCAATTTTCACAAGTTTCTAAAATTTCTCTTCAGTGATTATGATAAAAGATGAATATTGGAGTAAGTTATCAAAATAACTTGTTGAACATTTTATAAATGCAGGTAAATGATGTATAGATGTAGATAAATGTTTAAATGTAAATAAATGATGTATATATGTAGATAGATTATATTAAGATGTAGATAAATTATATTAAGATGTAGATGAATGATGTGTAGATGTTTATAAAGGATGTGTAGATGTAGATAAATGAAGTATAAATGTAGATAAATTAATTTATTTTTGGTAGTTGATAATATCATTTGATGTGTTATATTGTATTTCAGGAATTGATGCGGAACCATTTACCTACCTATCTATTGTAAAGAAACAGTTAACTCCACTGGATAGCGTTACATATAAAGTAAAGGTTAGTGCGAAATAGAATTATTAGGAATACCACTGATTGAACACAACATCACACTTACATACCTCAGTTTATATTATGTCATGACTTTAACCTGTACTCCAGTACTTTACAAAATCATTCAAGACTCCGTGTGTTTGTGATGATGTGAATACACATACAATGTGGGTGAAAGTTTGATTCCTACAGTAAAAAGAAAAGATTGTAATGATAATGAAAAATATGATCCAAGGGAGACAATCTTTATGTAGATTCGTGAGTGAAGAACAGTGTAATTTTTTAAGAATCTTTTAAAGCGAGACCAAAAAACCATTTCCCAAATTTGATGAATCTCAATACTCAGAGATGAAGTGGGGCTTCGAAATTTGAGTGAGTCCACAGGAAAGGCACGAATCCAGGACTCAATGAATCACTTACCATTATTATAACCTGTCATTTGTTAATTATTTTATTGGCCCCAAAATACGTAAGAATGTTACTGATCACCCTTTCCTATTTGTGTAAAGAGATAGAAAATGGTTCATTCCAACAAAATTTCTTCAAGGATGAAACAAAATTAGGATATGAATTATAATTATGTGGCTCTTTTAAGGGGCTGGAGAGGTAGGAAGAAAATCAGTCAATATGGGTTACATTTTAAATTTCTTCTAAATAAGAAATCTTACAGTCCTATTCTCTGGGGAATCGAAAGTACACAGAGTACAAATTTCCTAATCTCACGCGTCATCCCAGGGATGGAATACAATCTACTTTTCCTATTTATGGAAATGATATTTTCATACTTTGCAAAGTTCAATTTTGTTTTGAAATGAACAAAACGAACAAAATATATCACTACTGAAGAGGAGTAAAAGCTATCGTGTATGCTTTTCTGATAATGCATATATTCTGAATACATATATAGAATATATATCTGAGAACAAATTTCACAGTATAAAAAATATTTCAAATTAATATCACTAAAGAATATGATGACAATATCTTCTTGCAGGCCTACATTTCAACTTTGATTGGGCGACTGGACAGCTCTGGGGGGAAGGAGTGGACCCTGGCCTGCAAAATCAACGATGGGACAGATAGTCAAGATGTGGACCTTTCTGACAGTGTAGGGATTTCTGCAATATTGGTTATATTGTTTCCAAAATAATTGATACGATGGATTAACAAAAATTTTGGTTGAGGAACTATTTTGATTATATGGGGTATGCAGATTCTGTTCCAATTTGTTCAAAACCAAATCCATAATCACAACAAAAATATTTGTTTGCTGATAGAAGTCTGCATCTAAGTTGAATTACCTCCCTTTGTACCGTGATGGGAATGGATGACAGCCTATTAGTGCTTTGGTTATTCAGTTTTTCCTGATGTGAGAGGTTGTCTTTGATTACATATTACAAATACGAAGATACTTACTTTGAATTTCATTTGTGGATATAGTTCAGAAAATGCATGTGCTTACATGATTGACAGAATAATGAAATATTTGTGTGTTATGGCTTCCTCAAGAGATTTGAAGAATTCTTACAGTTTAATGATACAAAAAATTAATAAGTTTGTGTAAAAAAAATTCAGAAATTAAATTGTCCATAATTGAAATGAAAATGAAATCATCATGGCCGTCACATTATTAAGAATTTAGACGTTAATGTGAATTATTGTATTAATTAATCTGTATACATGTACTCTTACACTACATACTGTCTGATGTTACATCTGTTTGTGATGTAAATCTTTTCTCTTCTTTTTGGCATAGGTATTGGCAAGTCTAATTGGATTTTCAGCTCCAGATAGCGTGGTAAGAATCTTTCATTTGGTTTTTGAAAAAAAAAATGTTTGATGAAGTGATATTTTTTATGAGCAGCTAATCAAACTGGGTTTATTATGTACTTAAAATTAGAAGAAAAAAACGTATTGCATAAGGTCTATGGAGATGAATTGTGAGCTGGAATGTGATCACATTGTAAAACTGTATTATATTCTGTTAAAACAATAACTTTGCCAATTTTTTCAGGTAATGAAGAAAAGAATGAAACAGGACCTCAGTATCAAAGATGTACTTGTTGAGGTAAGTACTTTCTCTAGTAGAGGAAGAGAGTAAAGACAGTAAGTGGTTTATAAAAACGGTCTTTATGTTTAATATTAAGTTATGGTATATTGAGGAAGCCTTGTGTTCCCATGTCATGTACTGACGCCATCTTCATAGCTGTTTTGATAAACCATGAACAAACTCATAGTAGTCTATTGGCAGCAAATACATGTTGATTCATGAGTGTGGAAGGTAACAAGAGGGAGAAAAAATTGTTGATACAATTGATCATTAGATTTACATTTTTTGGCTCCCCCAAACAAATGTTAACTCTGAAAAGAATGATGAACAGGGAGATCCTTCTCTCTAATTAAGGCCAGTCAATGAAATGAAACCCTTAACCAGACAGCCATGAGGGTGGTCAACCTTGACCAAGACAGATACAAGGGTGGTCAACCTTGACCAAGACAGACACAAGGGTGGTCAACCTTGACCAAGACAGACACAAGGGTGGTCAACCCTAAACATGACAGACACAAGGGTGGTCAATCCTAAACATGACAGACAAAAGGGTGGTCAACCCTAAACATGACAGACACAAGGGTGGTCAATCCTAAACATGACAGACAAAAGGGTGGTCAACCCTGACCATGACAGATATAAGGGTGGTCAACCCTAAACATGACAGACACAAGGGTGGTCAACCCTGAACATGACAGATATAAGGGTGGTCAACCCTAAACATGACAGATACAAGGGTGGTCAACCCTTTTACAAAGACAGACACAAGGGTGGTCAGCCCTAACCAAGACAGACACAAGGGTGGTCAACCCAAACCAAGACAGATACAAGGGTAGTCAACCCTGACCAAGACAGATACAAGGGTGGTCAACCCTTTTACAAAGACAGACACAAGGGTGGTCAACCCAAACCAAGACAGATACAAGGATGGTCAACCCTAAACATGACAGACACAAGGGTGGTCAACCCTGACCATGACAGACACAAGGGTGGTCAACCCTAAACATGATTGATACAAGGGTGGTCAACCCTAAACATGACAGAAACAAGGGTGGTCAACCCAAACCAAGACAGATAAAAGAGTGGTCAGCCCTAACCAAGACAGATGCAATGGTGGTCAGCCCTAAACATGACAGATACAACGGTGGTCAGCCCTAACCAAGACAGATGCAATGGTGGTCAGCCCTAACCAAGACAGATAAAAGGGTGGTCAACCCTAAACATGACAGACACAAGGGTGGTCAATCCTAAACATGACAGACAAAAGGGTGGTCAACCCTGACCATGACAGATATAAGGGTGGTCAACCCTAAACATGACAGACACAAGGGTGGTCAACCCTGAACATGACAGATATAAGGGTGGTCAACCCTAAACATGACAGATACAAGGGTGGTCAACCCTTTTACAAAGACAGACACAAGGGTGGTCAGCCCTAACCAAGACAGACACAAGGGTGGTCAACCCAAACCAAGACAGATACAAGGGTAGTCAACCCTGACCAAGACAGATACAAGGGTGGTCAACCCTTTTACAAAGACAGACACAAGGGTGGTCAACCCAAACCAAGACAGATACAAGGATGGTCAACCCTAAACATGACAGACACAAGGGTGGTCAACCCTGACCATGACAGACACAAGGGTGGTCAACCCTAAACATGATTGATACAAGGGTGGTCAACCCTAAACATGACAGAAACAAGGGTGGTCAACCCAAACCAAGACAGATAAAAGGGTGGTCAGCCCTAACCAAGACAGATGCAATGGTGGTCAGCCCTAAACATGACAGATACAACGGTGGTCAGCCCTAACCAAGACAGATGCAATGGTGGTCAGCCCTAACCAAGACAGATAAAAGGGTGGTCAACCCTAAACATGACAGACACAAGGGTGGTCAACCCTAAACATGACAGAAACAAGGGTGGTCAACCCTTTTACAAAGACAGACACAAGGGTGGTCAACCCTAAACATGACAGAGAAAAGGGTGGTCAACCCTTTTACAAAGACAGACACAAGGGTGGTCAGCCCTAACCAAGACAGACACAAGGGTGGTCAACCCAAACCAAGACAGATACAAGGGTAGTCAACCCTGACCAAGACAGATACAAGGGTGGTCAACCCTTTTACAAAGACAGACACAAGGGTGGTCAACCCAAACCAAGACAGATACAAGGATGGTCAACCCTAAACATGACAGACACAAGGGTGGTCAACCCTGACCATGACAGATATAAGGGTGGTCAACCCTAAACATGACAGATACAAGGATGGTCAACCCTAACCAAGACAGACACAAGAGTGGTCAACCCTAAACATGACAGATAAAAGGGTGGTCAACCCTTTTACAAAGACAGACACAAGGGTGGTCAACCCTGACCAAGACAGATACAAGGGTGGTCAACCCTTTTACAAAGACAGACACAAGGGTGGTCAACCCAAACCAAGACAGATACAAGGATGGTCAACCCTAAACATGACAGACACAAGGGTGGTCAACCCTTTTACAAAGACAGACACAAGGGTGGTCAACCCTAAACATGACAGATACAAGAGTGGTCAACCCTGACCATGACAGAAACAAGGGTGGTCAATCCAAACCAAAACAGATACAAGGATGGTCAACCCTAAACATGACAGACACAAGGGTGGTCAACCCTGACCATGACAGATACAAGGGTGGTCAACCCTAACCAAGACAGATACAAGGTTGGTCATTCCAAACCAAGACAGATACAAGGGTGGTCAACCCTTTTACAAAGACAGACACAAGGGTGGTCAACCCTTTTACAAAGACAGACACAAGGGTGGTCAACCCTAAACATGACAGAGAAAAGGGTGGTCAACCCTAAACGTGACAGATAAAAGGGTGGTCAACCCTTTTACAAAGACAGACACAAGGGTGGTCAGCCCTAACCAAGACAGACACAAGGGTGGTCAACCCAAACCAAGACAGATACAAGGGTAGTCAACCCTGACCAAGACAGATACAAGGGTGGTCAACCCTTTTACAAAGACAGACACAAGGGTGGTCAACCCAAACCAAGACAGATACAAGGATGGTCAACCCTGACCATGACAGATACAAGGGTGGTCAACCCTAAACATGACAGATACAAGGATGGTCAACCCTAACCAAGACAGACACAAGAGTGGTCAACCCTAAACATGACAGATAAAAGGGTAGTCAACCCTGACCAAGACAGATACAAGGGTGGTCAACCCTAAACATGACAGACACAAGGGTGGTCAACCCTAAACATGACAGATACAAGGGTAGTCAACCCAAACCAAGACAGATACAAGGATGGTCAACCCTAAACATGACAGATATAAGGGTGGTCAACCCTGACCATGACAGACACAAGGTTGGTCAACCCTAAACATGACAGACACAAGGGTGGTCAACCCTAAACATGACAGACACAAGGGTGGTCAACCCTTTTACAAAGACAGACACAAGGGTGGTCAACCCTAAACATGACAGACACAAGGGTGGTCAACCCTAAACATGACAGACACAAGGGTGGTCAACCCTGACCATGACAGACACAAGGGTGGTCAACCCTAAACATGACAGACACAAGGGTGGTCAACCCTAAACATGACAGACACAAGGGTGGTCAACCCTAAACATGACAGACACAAGGGTGGTCAACCCTAAACATGACAGACACAAGGGTGGTCAACCCTAAACATGACAGACACAAGGGTGGTCAACCCTAAACATGACAGACACAAGGGTGGTCAACCCTGACCAAGACAGATAAAAGGGTGGTCAACCCTAACCAAGACAGATAAAAGGTTGGTCATTCCAAACCAAGACAGACACAAGGGTGGTCAACCCTAAACATGACAGAGGAAAGGGTGGTCAACCCTAAACGTGACAGATAAAAGGGTGGTCAACCCTTTTACAAAGACAGACACAAGGGTGGTCAGCCCTAACCAAGACAGACACAAGGGTGGTCAACCCAAACCAAGACAGATACAAGGGTAGTCAACCCTGACCAAGACAGATACAAGGGTGGTCATTCCAAACCAAGACAGACACAAGGGTGGTCAACCCTAAACATGACAGAGGAAAGGGTGGTCAACCCTAAACGTGACAGATAAAAGGGTGGTCAACCCTTTTACAAAGACAGACACAAGGGTGGTCAGCCCTAACCAAGACAGACACAAGGGTGGTCAACCCAAACCAAGACAGATACAAGGGTAGTCAACCCTGACCAAGACAGATACAAGGGTGGTCAACCCTTTTACAAAGACAGACAAAAGGGTGGTCAACCCTTAACATGACAGACACAAGGATGGTCAACCATGACCAAGACATATACAAGGGTGGTCAGCCCTAACCAAGACATATACAAGGGTGGTCAACCCTAAACATGACAGACACAAGGGTGGTCAACCCTTTTACAAAGACAGACAAAAGGGTGGTCAACCCTTAACATGACAGACACAAGGATGGTCAACCATGACCAAGACAGACACAAGGGTGGTCAACCCTGAACAAGACAGACACAAGGGTGGTCAACCCTGAACAAGACAGACACAAGGGTGGTCAACCGTGACCAAGACATATACAAGGATGGTCAACCCTGAACAAGACAGACATGACAGTGGTAAACCCTAAAAAAGCATATGTACTCATCATGTCTAATGTGATTCAGAAACTGCATTTATCCTTAGGCTCATACTGTGGTGAAGGTTTGTTCTTCTAGTCTTCATTGTGAAATTATATTCAACACTATTAAGTACATAATTAGTTTTTACTGTTAATGTGTGTTACAGGGCATTCAGCAGTGCCAGCAGAAACTGATAGCTCTACTCTGTATTATGGAGATAAGAACATTGCCCTCCAAAGCCAGGCCAGAGGTCATAGCCCTACATGAGATGACCCCTGATAGGATCAACACTCTCCGGACAAGGGTCTCTCAATCCATGGACAATAAATAATATATATGTTGATCAGGATTTAGTTTTGTTATGAACAAAAAAAATTGCTACATTTACTGTATGTTATATTTAGTAATATTTTTTTTGAAAATACCCAATACTAAGGAAACATTTCAAGTTTTGAATTTATTTTTTTAGCCACTGTAGAAGTTTCAAATTTACCAAAACCATTTGTCAAAAAAACACTAAAAATGTGAGTCAAGTAGACATTGAATTAACTTGTGCCCTTACTAGATGATCTGTGTCGGGCAGAAGGATCTATTTTTTTTTCCAACATGCACAATCAATGTCTGGTTTCTAACCATTTCTTTATCCGTCTGGATTGGAAAGTTGAATTTTGACAGACATTACATACCCTGAATGATCTTGCATCCTTCCCTAAATGGTGATAGCACAGCATATATTTAGATTTATTTTGTAACTCTCCAAGTAGGACTCTCTGTTCTTCGTTTGGTAGAGTATTATTAGTAGAGAGTCAGGGATTGAACAGAAGACACACAAGTAAATAGCACCTTTCAATACAACTTTAGAATTTGATCCAGTAGAGCCAAATATTAGGTTAAACTGTCATAAAGCTTTTCTGTCCTGCTAGAACTAGAGGGAGACATAGACAGTATGAAAATAAAAAGTGAACATCTTCAGGGATGTAATTCTGAGCCAGAAATAAAAAATGTAGTTCCTTTATGAAGTATATCCAAGGGAGAGCACTCTCAAGTGGCATAAAGCCCTGAAGTACATTTGTAGGACACTTTTAATTAATGCAGGTTACCCTTTTTAATGTTTTTAGCTCACCTGCCAGATAGCAAGTGAGTAATGCTGGGATGAGTCATCCAGCTTCATCTTTTCCCTGTAAATAACTTCTTTTCTCAATAACCAAGAGACATGGTGTTATGATATTGAATCTGAAGCACATATTGATATGTGTTAACATATATTTAAGGCCACAGGGGTCAGATATCTTATAATCTCCAAACAACCTCTGATTCTTAGGAGACCCAGAGTCATGATGTTGGTAAAACAGGATGATGGAATGCAGTGCTGCAAAGTTGGTTCACATTCAAGTTCTCACAGGTCAGATGTGTGAAGTTTTCAAACATCATCCAAATAAAAAACAAAAGACATGTTTGTTTATACAACACACAAGTGGTTTGATGTATAAGTAAGAGAGTGACCTCACACAATAACATCTTTTTTTTTATGATTTTTAAAGCAGCTGGACAATACAGGCCCATTGAGTTCTTATTTTAAGGATTGCACAAAAGAAACACAAGTGAAAAGCACATTTTAATACAACTTGACTTGAATTTAGCTGTATCCTACAGCTGTTTCCTCTTTCTAGGACTGGTCAGTTATGCTAAGGGCCTTTTGTTTAAGTCTAGGAAGCGACTGTGGAAAATTCAGTAATCGAAAGGAAAGTAAAAAATCTATACTGACGATACAATATCCCTGTAATTAAATCCGTTTCGTAATTTTTCGTTTTCAGATAATTTTAGGACAACTTTAAATAATTCTGAACTGTTGCAGTATTTGAATGAATTTTAAAATGTGGCGTGCAGCCATGTATTCGTGTGGGTATGATTACAAAAACCTCGATATGACTAACGGTTTATAGTTATGAATACAAAATACAAAATCTGAGAAATATGTCGCCCATGCACAGAACAGTAAAGATGAAAGATTCGAGTCAAACAGGATTATGAATTTTTAATTACCTTTATTTTACTACCACGGAAAGCAATTGTACATAATTATATTTACTTTGCGATTGATTGCTGAACCGATATGAGGGATATACACCCCCGTGTCTGCAGCTAACTGCTACCGTGTATGGACTACATGCATCAGGAAGTGACTGAACCGATACAAGATATTCACGTACACTGTTTCTGACCCTTTAGTGGTGAGACAGACCTAGATATGCCAGAAGAGGTCGCTAAGGTAAGGTAATACATTAACCGGAATTTCTGCTTGTAGGCGCGTATCTGACTTTACGCAAATGCGCAGCTTCGTACAATGAAGCAATTTCCAGCTTTTGGGAGAGCTTCACTCATGGCACCTCGAAATCATTCCCGTCTGTGTGTACATCAAAATCGCTTGTCTACGCGCCTGTCGTGTATGTTATATAAGATTAATGTAAGATTATATCGGATGGATGGATGTCCATACAGGCAATATTGAACAACTCTGAATCCAATTTGTTTAAACATCTTTAAAAGGGATTTCATGCCGAGGGATGAACAACAGGATTAAAGAAATTTTGTCCAAACTAGCGTTTTTCAGTTATGCTTTTCACCCCAAAGCCCAATACCGGGTGACACATGTCTCCTTTTCTTTTCTTCATAAACCCGTCCCGCCCTTTTTTCTTTGTGGGTGGCTCTTCTAGAACTGACGAATACTCCTATCGGAATTAGAGGGGGATCACTTGTGGGTTCTAGTTATATCATTGACAACATACAGACGGTTAGCATGCTTATGTTATACCATCATTGTGCAGTGAGAAATGTCCCTGATATTTAGTTTGGAATGGATTGTATACTAGTAGATAAAAAAAAAACTAATCAGAGAAATGTTTCTTAAGGTACCCAATACTATAGCAGTAAAGTGGGCAGAGAAACGGACCAACGGCGACGTTTCAGCGTCAAATTCATTATAATATACACATGTTCCATTTGACAGATCACAAAAAATGGTAAACGCGTTCTGATCAGCACAAGATAGCAATACGGAATGTAATTAGATGCATTGAGCTGTCTTATGGCGTTCATGGTTGTTATAAATGCCATAATTTCACTGGCAAACTTTATATATGCAATACGATGTTTGCTAGCAAAACTGTCAATTATGTAGAACATAAATGCCATAACCAAACCGTTCATTGCTTACGAATATACCTCCATGGCTAGGACGACTGTATTGAAATGCAGCCGAATTATGTTTTACGGCGCGTGACGGAGCGCCTCTAACGTATTCTAAATGGCTGGTCGTGCCATCGCTAAGTTGGTTTTACGCATCATTTTGGCATGAGATTTGGAGACACTTGGGAATTCGTGTCAGAAAATTCCTATCGTGTTCGCTAATAACATTTACCCATGTCTTGGAGGGAAGTTGAATGACACACCTAATTGGAAAAACGATCTGATCAATTAAATACGATATGTATATTGGCGAAAACGACGAATGTTAATGTTGCACCCCAAGAGGGTTTCCCAAAATGTTTTAGAGACAGAATCCGCAGCTGTGGCAGTCCCAGTTTGTTGATATTGGTTTAGTGTACGTTCATTTGGTAAAAATCGCTCCCAAAGCTACATCTGTACGTTTAATGTTGGTAATTTTTTATTTGTTCATTTAAAATAGGTTTATTTGTCTCAATTTGTAAATTTAGTTATTGATAATAGATACATACATCAGTTAAAGTTCTTTGATCTACCCAATGTACTTCTTTTTCCGTTTTCAAATACAACTGTTAACTCAGTCCGTGAAAAATAACGTAACATTCGTGGAACTTCCTTATTCTCTTTCAGTGTAAGTCTTGTCTTTGGAAGGCCTCGTTCAGCTCAAACGGATACTCTCCTGAATGATTTACGTATATTGAACCTTATATATATAGAACGATAGTGATATACTGCCAAACATTCTTGGTGAAGTATATAAGCAATTGTTTAACGACATCTTGTCTGTTTTCCATTAGTTTGCTTTGTTTGCTGGCAAGGCCATACTGGAAGACTTATCCTTGTCAAGGTTACGGAAGAAAAAATATATAAACACTTTTTCGTGTTTTTTTTTTTTTTAACTGCATTCTTGTGTTGGGATTATAAACATGAGAATGTGAACACAGTCATTGATCTTCCATCCATCACCCCTCCCCACCCCCTCCTCTCGTATTCGTTCCTTCCTCCACCCATCTACACATACATGTACATCACTCCGTCCATCAGCCGTCCGTCCGTCTGTCTCTTCATCCTTCCATATATTTACATGTACGTCCCATAATCTCGCCTCTACTAGATATGATGATAAACTTGTATAATGAATGACTGAAAAAAATGTTATCGGCAAAGTAATGATACACACTGATATCATCACATTTCTTGGCAAAGTGATCCTACGGTAAGATTTTAAAATCGTTATAAATAGTCTCGACTTTAGCCTACCGGGCTTGCAGATTTCGTTCGATTTTTTTTTCAGGGTTTGACTTTACAGTGGCAAATTTACAGTGAAAAAGCTTCAATGAAATGCTTGACGTTAACGTGTCCAGGTCGTTTTGAAAGAGGCGCTGGGGTTTTGAGGCTTACTGGCGCGCCTGGAGTGGCGGGCGGAAGGGGTTGATGTTGTATATATACTAGTGTTGGGCCGTTCAGTTCTCGCAGTTCTATACTGTCATACAAGTGTGCTCGCACATTACAGCACGAGGTTGCTCTGATCAATATTATCGATTTCTCACTAACAGTACACATGATTTATTCAGTATATTTGTCGGTTGTAATTAAATCCCACATGATATTCTTACAATGACCAAAGTGGATCTCGGATTTGTAATACTGTGAGAAGTTAAGTGTTGTCCAGTTTCGAGTTAAAATATACCTCCTCTCCATCCACAGATCGGGCGAACACTTGGCATGTGGTGTTCTAGAGTGTGCATTTCCTGTGTAGTCGTGAAATGTGGAGACTGCAGCAGACTGCTTTCAGCCGAGACAAGCAGACGACACGTTGTGTGAAAAGCAGCGCGCTGTGTTCCATCTTCGAAGACTTATATCTTGCCGTTTTCTGAGAAACATGGGGAATTATCAGTGCTTTATTCTCAGGATGAAATATATTTGACCAACGTCTATCACTGAAAGCGATAAATATGGATAATAAGAACGTTTCACGGCAGACATAGGGGTAAGTTTTTCTGTTAATTAAGCAGTGACTTTTATCTCTTCACGTGGGGCTAAACGACTATACCGAGAGTTTATCTTCTCTGGAGTCATAAAGAGATAACAAGCTCTCAATACCTGATA